CAGGATGCAAGGCAGTTGTATCAATATCAGTTATATTTAGTTATTTAAATATTAATTTATATTATATCTCGAAAAATTAAAAATTTAATAAGTTAAAATGAATAATAATTTAAGAAAAATGTTTGTATTCATAATTTAAGTAGTCTAGGTATGATACAATTTAACTGTATTTGGAAAGTTTTGAGGCATTAAAAAATATGATTATATCTATCTTTACATTTATAATAGTATATGAAGGGCAACAATATATTGGATAAAACTCTCTGGTGTTATTTCTAAGATAACAGTATATGCTGATGTGATTTAAAGTATTCAAAGAAATATTTACAAAATTATAATATTGATAAAATGAGAAATGCAAACAAAAACAAATTTGGAGCCCCCTTTTTTCTAATGTCTAAAATTTAATTATAGCATTATATTCCAAAAGATGTAATTATATACTACTTGTCAGATTGTATATAAAATGTAATTGTTCATAGTATTGCTTTTGGGGTTGTATGTTTCTATATTAGACCAATTGTTAGCATGGTTTTCTAGTTCTATATTATATGAATTTTTGCATAATATGTATTTATTGACTTGTCACAATTTATTATTTGTATGTTTACTCTCCATATTTTAGTTTAGACAGAACTTTGGTTCGTTTATTATGTTAGTTGTGAATTGAAGTTTTATGGGATCAATCTGCAAAGTATAATAATATTTTGTGTATTTCATTTCTTATAAATGATATCTGTTTGTGGTTTGCAAAGTGTACTATTTAAATGTAAAATGTGAGCATTTCTTCTCTATACAAACTTTGAAAAAACATTTTCTATTACCAGATTTATTTTGTTTGTTAAAACATTGAATACTATTCAATATCTCAGTGCACTGAGTTGATTGTGATTGGTTCATCAATTTGGTTTGTTGTGACTGATAAAGTATTGTGTTCTTTTTGTTTGCTTTTATAGTGATTTTATGTTTTTTACTTATCTGTATTCATCTTTGTACAAATACGTATTTTGTAGGCATGCATTTTTATATTAGAATAAGTAACAATTTATTCTCACAGTTGTAATTTATTTATGGATATTTATAATCATTTTCTCAGACACTACAATTATCATACTGTTGATGTTAATAAATGAATTATTTTTAACAAAAAGTTTCATTTAGTTTTAGTGTATATTACTCTTTTCTGCATGAAATGCTCTACAAACAAAGCTGAAAAATTAATTACAGGAAATTCTACCATAGCATTTGAACCATGCATAATTGCAACAGATTTAAATGCTGTGCTATAATACATAGTGGACACAGTTTGTTAAAATAAGCATCTAATTTTATCAAAGGTAGTTTTATGTATTTCATGAAATCTTTTCATTTTACTTAATAAAAAAGTATGAAAACTTTTATTTTATTTGGCAAGCTAGTTATTTGTGCATATTAATTGATGTGTTTCATAGTTTTTATTGGCCTATTTTATTTTCATTTTATTCATCTTATACTATGTAAATGCCATCCAAAAGCATTCCTTTCTCTGCAAGTAAAAGTCTATTTGAGTTATGAACTTGGGAATCATTTATTGATCTAACATTAAAGCAGATGAAAAGCTTATGAAGTGGCAATTTTGTATTTATTTAGTTGGAAATGTTGAAAGACTCATAGACTTAATGCTATGTAGATATTCTATGTTCCTGATATTAAGTTATCAATTCACCATTTCATATACGTGTATTCCTAACATATTTTTATAGAGAAATCCCTGAAGTTTTAAATGTTATGTTTAACTTATAATTATGCTGTATTAACATGACACTTTTATTGAACATTATTTACTAATGATAAATTGAAATGTGAGAATTATGCAGCTATAGATTAGAGTAAAACTGATTATTGAGATTGCATTGTAAAGCAAATGTAATTTGTGTAAGGAATTTATTGGTTTTAAAAGTTATCTCTTTTTCAGCTGAGAATCCATAGACACTAAGGCAGTAATATAGGAAGTTTATATAACTCTTACATAATTCTCTTTTTTATTGGTTGGGAAAGTTAAAAAAATTTTTTTAAGTGTTTCCACTGCTTAATTCACTATCTCATCAAAATGAGCTTTTTTAAAATAATATGAATTTTGAAAAAAGGATAAGAGAGATTTCAAGAGCTTAAATATATCTGTTTTACAGAGGATTTATTTGCTGAAAATAAGATTTGCAGTAATAAAGAGAAACGTGTCATTTTTCATAACTCAGTCCTTGGTAAAATTGAAGATACACATACATATTTTGTTTAATTGAGGAAAACCTGCTGTGTTTCTTGTCTTTTATGTTTGTTGATGCTAAAAGCCCAACTTGCACAAAAAGGTATTCTAAGATCAACTTTTTTTAGTGATTTTTTTTAATACTTTTACTTCATTAGCATACAAATCAAGAAATTATCAATTTTAAAAATCAGGGGAAACATATGAAGATTTTTCTTTTCCTCTTGGGGATTTCTGTAAAATGTCTTAATATTACATATGTTTTATTCTTTGAAATCCTTACAGCTTCCTATTTTCTTTGCTTATTCTCTTTTAGGTAAACCATTCTTTATTTTTCTGCTGAGCTGTAAAATCTTGGTTTACAGTGTTAAACATGCTTAATAATTATTTTTCAACTCAAAAATTAGCTTAAGGTCATTATTCTGAGAATGTACCCATATTGTTGAAGGTAGATTGAGCAGTAGTAATAAAAGCTTTAAAATTACTAGGACTGAGGTCTTCTTTGATTCTTAAGAACTGTTATGAGTGATACGATATTGCCAGCTGATATTGTATATAAAAATTATATTGTGTATGTCACAGAAAAAAATCCATATTTTAAAGACTTGATATAAAGGACAGCTGTGCCTTGTACAAAAAAGTGTCTAATAACTACTGTTTTTGAAAGGATATTGATTGATTCAAAATCTTAAATCTTTATGTAGACATTCTTAAATATTAATGGTATCACATAACTATTGCCTTATCATTGATTGTTTGGTTAATAACTTACACTAAGCCATGATGAATAGTTATGGGGGAAAGTGTGCCTTTTTTAGGACTTTTTAAGGGAAACTATTTCTGTTATATGGCATGTGGAAAAACATGAATATTTTCCAGCCCAGATAAAACAACCAGAATGCTGAAGACATCATAGTTTTAAGAATATATTACGACTTATATACAGGGTGTCTCAAAAATATAGTGAAAAAATTTTAGGGGAGGTAAGCACATCATGAGGATTTGCATAAGAAACCATGACTGGAAACATCAGGGTTAAGTGGTAGCAGAGATGGAAGCTTGTGAAGGACATTAGAGCGTGATTAATTTAAAACATTTATTGGATATCATGAGTACAAATGGTGTATGAGATGAATGCATCTCTAATATTACAACAGATGCTCGAAGTGTGAACCATCAGATGCCAGCATATCTGACACCGAGGGAATATTAATTGCTGGCCACTGTCAAAACATACTGGGAATTTTTTTTATTGTAGCAGCAACATAGATGGGTCTTGCCACAAGATCCATTTCAGACTGCACAGGATTGTGATACATGATTGTTTTGAGGGCTGACTACAGAAAGAAATCAGGTGAGCGTGGGAGCCAGGAAACTGATTCACCACACTCAATCCATCGATGTGGGAATGAGCTCTTCAAATGTCTACGAACAGCCGGTTCAAAATGAGAAGATGCCCCATCATGTTGGAATCACACTTGTTGGCATCATTTGCCCCATCATGTTGGAACATTATGTTACACCTGACATTTGCTGGAACATCGTCAAGTAAGCCAGGAAGAACCTACTCCAGAAGTATCCGATAATTAATCATGGGGATGGTAAAAGGTATACTAAGCAGTCGCCAAACAAACCTCCCCACACATTTACAGCGAAAGGATGTTGTGCTACGTGGTGTCGCATTCTATGTTGAACCCACATAGTAGGGTTCATTTGAATCCACAAATGAGCATTGTGCTGACTGAATATGTCATCCCTATTGAATGTTGTCTCATTACGGAACAACACATAATCTGGGAAATTCACATTAATTGAACCCTTTGGAGATGAAAGGTGTTTAAGTACTTGGGTTCAAATCAAGCTGTGCACTGCAGCGAGACACTCTCGAGGTGGTATGTATGCTGGTCCTGAGGTTAATCTCCACGGCATCCAACACCAAACACCTCAACGTGGCCTGACTTCACTAGTCTTTTTAATAACCCATACTCGTGCAAATTTTGGATGCACATGTTAAACACACTGTGGTGCGGTTGATGTCCATCTGGGAAGCATTATCGATAAACTCATTCAACGAGTCGTCCATTGCCCTCAGCTATTCCATACACTAAGTGCATGTCTGCAAGTTCACCCTTCGTATACTGTTGCGTGCCCTTATTATGTTGATTACTGATATTATGCCCTTATTATGTTATTAACTTTCCCCGTCATTGCTATCGTGCAGAGCAAGACCTAAAGCGGCCTACAATTGCGTTTCCGGTCATGGGCTGTTATTCATTTCTCAGTGCTTATATAGATAAATATGTCCTACAACCCCTAAAAGTTTGTCACTAAATTTTTTAGACTTTTTAAATTTATGCGATTTAGATTCTTTCAAACAGTGAAGTGAATAATCTGCATTGTATAAATTTTAATTATGTATGTATATTACACTTTCTTTTTATGGTTTCATATACGTACTTGCAAATGCAAAAATCTGCGATATATTTATAAATAATAAACAACAAATATATTTTAAGCTTTAGCATGAAATGTCTGTTGAAAGTTTATTTTATTGCTTGCATCATATGTGTAATGAAATAAAGAGAAAACAAGAAAAATGCATATTGTTCTTTATATTATATATTTAAAATTGTTATGCTGTTTGAGATGATAGATTATTTAAAGCAATTACAGTATATTGCGCATGATAGCTAAACTAAGGGATAATTTGTTGTTTTGTATTCAGTTAAGCATCTGAAACATCAGAGTTGTGTTTCAGGTTATTTCCAACGATACCAAACGTAAGAAGTTCTTTTACAACAGGCCTATGCACAGCTTTTGTGGTGAGTATAAGTTTTTTTTTAAATTTATTAAACTCTATAAATGGAGGAAGAATAGTTTAATATTTCTGTACTATAAAGCAGCAGTCGAAGTTGAAGTATTTATCTCGTATATCAAACTCATTCTAAAAAAAATAGAGGTTATTACTGAAATTTGCTTAATAAAATCACAGTATTCATTTCATATGTGATGACCTTAAAAATAATTTGGTGTACTATATTTAAGTATCTTGTATGCCTTATTACAAAATTTGTATAAGTATATAATCCAAAATAGTAAATATATTTAACTATTTTGGATTATTTATTTATGTTTTTCAAAAATATGTAATTCTAAAGTTATTACAAAAAGGATTTAAATATTGTTAAAATGAAGATGATATTAATGGTAATTATTCAACCATTTGCAATAAAACTAACATCTGAGTATCATTAAGAGCCTTGCTTCTTAATGTGATTAATTACTAAAGATACAGTAATTATAAAAATTAATGAAATTACTATGTGTTGTTGTAATAGGTTTATTTATTTATTTTTAAGTTAGAAATATACTTAGAATAATCTTTCCAAAAATTTGAAATGTTATGTTGCCAAACACTTATCATCCATTGCTTTAGCAAGTGATGCTTCAACAACAACATTTCACAGCCCTATGCTGGTGACTGAAAACCATTAGGTCACCAGTGTGCAATAGCCTTGATGGTCATTTATGATCTGTCTACTAGTGCTTTTCAATTTCATTTAATTTTAATAGGTTATCTAAATTTACTTGCACTGTTACCCACATCAAAGACCTTATGATCTGATCACCAGTCATTCATGACGAACTGATTCATGACTGATAAGTCATTCATGACTAACTGATTCATGACTGATAAATCATTCATGACTAACGCTTGGGTCAGCCGCGACCACTAATTTGCATGACCAATAGAATTCTTTGATTTAATTTTATTTTTGAAAACTTACTTAAACTTATTCCACTACCTTGTACTGATGGCTTGTGAGGTGGTTCCTATTCTTTGTGAGGTGGACCATCAAACCATATGGCAGTAGTGACCAGCAGTCTTGATTTGCTTTTCCATGCTTCATTTCTATTTAAATTTAAAATTATGCCTAAATTTAATGCAATATTGTATACTAGTAATCCATTACAGAATTGCCAACTCTCCCGATTTAGGCGGGAGACTCCCGATTTTCGACCGCTCTCCCGCCAACCCGATTTACAATATATTTCTCCCGACTTTTTCTTATTCTTAAAATTTCTCACGATTTTTATGGAACTTGGCTTAATACTTTGTTATATGAACAAAAAAAAAAAAAAAAAAAAGTGATTTTGGACGTCTGAAAGCAATTGAATTTTCTCTAGATTATATCTAAAACAAAACCTTGTGAATTAGATAACTTCTGCTTTGTGAGAGAGAGCATATACGTATCCAGAAACTTCGTTCTCCAGTTCTCCAATGGGCATCGTGCTCCACTGCTTGTCATCTGGCATATATTAGCCAATGAGGACAAAGCAAGCTGTTATTTGGATGTTCTTTAGTTATTTCGGTCATTCTGTCCTGAGTTGTGTGAGTACACGTGCCTTCGGGAAATAGTTTTAGAAATTATCATCTTTTGTTATGTGAGAGAAAAGTGAAATATACTCGTGTACTCGTGTTTCAAAAATCGTACACAGTTGACTTTCCTTCCATTATTTCCTCAAAGAAAAAAATAAATTGCGATGTGTACCGCCTGGTCGTTGCGATTTTTCGATTTCGTATGGTGGAAGGTGCGGATGTTCTCAAATATGTGCGTACACAAAAACACAAGGAATAACATGAGTTGTTTTGAAAAAACGAAAAATTAAATTTTTTTTTCGGAAACAAAGGACCAAAAAGTTATTAATGCAGAATGTCTGTCCTCTGCCTTTTTACTGGAGCACAACCTGCTACTGAATGCATCGGATCACGCTGCAGTTTTATTTTGAAAAATGTTTCCCGATAGTGAAATCGCTAAAAAATACTCAAGTGCAAGGATCAAAACAGGTGCAATTGTTAAAGAAATTTGGATTTGAAAAATAAATCTTCAGTTATTGATTGCATTAAAACAGCTCCGTACTGCCTCTCTATGGATGGAAGCAATAATTTCGATTCAAAACTGTATCCAATTGTTGTTTCAAACTTTTTTTCCAATTCCAAAGTCTTTCAGAAATTAAATGCAGTTTACTTTCTGTCCCCACTTTAGAAGGATATTCGAAAGGCTTTAATATAACACAGCTAATTATTAAAACTTTAAAAGAAAATGCAGTCCCTCTGGAATAATTGCTCAAGCACTTGGTGCCGATAATGCACCAGTAATGGTAGGCTTGAAGACTGGCGTTGCACACATCTTGAGAAAGGAAAATTCAGATTTGCAGATTTTGCAGATATGAAGTGCACCTGTCACCTCTTAAATTTAGCAGCTGAAAAAGGGGCAGCATCTTTACCAATAAATGTGGATGAACACGTTGTTGATATTTATTATTATCTTGAAAGGAGTTCTAAAAGGAAGGAAAAATTGAAACAGTTCCAACAACTGCATAACAGCAGTTTACAATTAGAAAACTTGGATGAAGTTATAAAATCAGCTAGGACTGACACATAGTGGAGTTTAATTGGAAAACTGAAAGATGCTGATGGAATTTTAAAATATAGTGAACTGTCTAGAATTATGTTGGCCATCTTGACTGTTCCCCATAGTAATGCAGAGTGTGAGAGGATTTTCAGTGTTGTTGGGAAAACGAGGACTAAATTTAGATCTAATATTAGTGATGACAAATTAGAAAAACTTTTATTAACGAAAGCAGGCCTACGTGGCAATTGCTATGAACAAAATTATGAAATTTCTTTCTTAAAGAAAGCAAAATCTGCCACTGTTTATAACATTTGTATAAAAACTGATTTTTTTTTTTTTTAAACGATGCAAGTAATAAAATTTTTTTTTATGTGTAAGATATTTTTGTGTTGCTTGCATTTAAGAATTAGTTACTATTTAAATTCATTATCAAAAACTATATTTTCATCATTTAAAAAGTCTTTTTAACATTGTGAAAAATCTCCCGATTTCTTAAAAAAATCTCCTGATTTTTTTAGTGTCATAGGTTGGCAAGTATGCATTAGCTTCAGTTGTGTGATAGTGACTGCTAACTTCTGGTTCACGGGATCGTGACCATCAGTGACTGCCAGCTTCTAGTTCATAGGACAGTGACCATCACTCTGTAGTTCTCCAGCGACCAACGGCCTTCCCTGATAATATTATGTTTCTATATAATCTTTATTTAAAAATCAGTCTAAATTCATTGCATTGCTCCGTATTCTAAACCCAATCGTTAAATCCAAATTATCTTCAACATGAAGGGCACCAGTAACTAAATTTATTTAACATCAATATGCTTTGCTTCAATTTTAATTTAAATATCTATCTTAAGTTTTTTGCACTGCCCCATTTTGGTGACCTGCATGTTGATCCAACACCCCCCTAAAATTAAGGCTTTGGCGCGCAGTTTGTGACGCCACTGTAGTAGGGATGCTTTCGTCCTTCCTAACTTTAAGGATGCATATATTTGCCTTCTTAAATATCCATTTAATAGGCTTACAAATAAATTGAACTTAAGTTTTCTTATTTTATTCTTATCGTTTATAAATATGGAAAATAACTTGTTCTCATTAGAATGTGAAAAACCGAGACTTCTAGAATGTTTTTGATACGAATAAATAGATTTAAATTCCATTAAAAGCTATCATTACTCATTTTACGAAATTATATCTCTGCGAAACTCTTTTTAATGAAAGAAACGTCTCATTTAATGAATCGGAATTCAGTTTGCACGCAATACGTAAACAGATGGACGGTTTAAGACATGAAGACAGGATATATTTACAGGTACTAAAAAATAGAGAGAAATCCTAACATTTAAATTAGGAAACTATTTTAGCTGGAATCATATATCAAGATAAAATCATTAATTGAAGACTAATATAGTTAATTAAATATGTTTATTAGTCAAGGCTCGTAGTGTAAGGATCTTAAGTTTTACTAACGTTTATTTTATTTTAAATCTTTACTATCACTTCTTATTTTCTACTTCCGGCCAGAATTATAAGCGTGAAGGATTTTATGCAAAGTTGTCTGGCGAACGCCAAGTATTTAAGTGTGGCCTTTTTGCCAAGCAGGAGAGAGGAAGCAGTGAGTTCGAAGCAGGCCGCTTACCTTAGAAGTTACGCAGTTGCTATTTGCCTTCCAGGCCAGAGGTTTTAATCCTCTTGATAAATTAAACGTATTGTAGTGTTCACAGTCTCTGTGCTACAATACGCTTCCTGTTATTATAAGGCCAATCTTATTCTAAAGTTAAATTAGAGTTTTTTAGTTTTATTTTATACCTTTTACGTTAGACCCGAGTGGAGGGTCATTGTATTCCGAAGTACGGAAGTCATTGTATATAAAGAAAAATAAAGGGGCTTGTATACCCTTCGTCTGTATCCTGTCTACTTACTACAATTAGTGAACATAGCTTTAGTAAGCTCTCTGTTCCTAGTCAGGTCATTGTATGTTTCCGAAGAAGGTTAGAAGAACATTGAAACCTGATAGTGGCGCCCAACGTAGAAGAATAACCATGGCCGAATTTCAAGAAGAACCTGTGCTGCCTGCAGAAACGGCTCAGAAACCAGAAATGCCATCTGCCGCTCTGGAAGGATTTGGGTACATCGTCCAGACCATGCGCGCTTCGATGAAACCAGAAGCAACGTTTAATGGAAACTCACAGGTAACCAGTTTTTTGGAAAAATTGGATGACCACTTCATGCTCTACCCCGTGCACGAGTTTCAAAAAGTTACCTTAGCTACCAGCGCTTTTGAGGGGCCAAGCGCTTAACTGGTTCAAATGTATCGGCAGAAGTCTCTTGGGTCAAGCAGGAAGTCCCACCTATACTTACGAAAATTTCAAGACTGCCCTACTAAAAGCCTTCCTGTTGTAAGGGATC